CCGCTGAAGCCCTACAAAACCTCTTTCTTTACATTTATATGTGTGTGTGTGTGTGTGTGTAAATTTACTTTTGGCTATTACACAAGTTTTCCATTATTGGGAGCTCCCCTGTGTGTGAAAATAACCTTGTCTTTACTCCTGGTAATCCACCTATTGTCAGTTAATTTGCAGGCCCCCAATCTCTGGACCCAATCTGGAAGAGAAAAAGATTCCCTGCCAACAGAAGTATAAATTAGTTTGTGAAGGCTGTTTTGTTTGTTTTTGTGAATTTTTACCCATGGATATTTTTTCCATTGATTTTTAGAGAGAGTGGAAGCGAGGGAGGGAGGGAAGGAGGGAGAGAGAGAGAGAGAGAGAGAGAGAGAGAGAGAGAGAGAAACATTGATGTGAGACACATGGACTGGTTGCCTCGCACATACACCCCAACCGGGACTGGGGATTGAACCTGCAACCCAGGTCGTGCCCTTGACTGGGAATTGAAGCTGTGACTCTTCGGGGCAAGGGGCCCACTGAGCAACGCCAGCGGGGTCCTGAGGCTGTTCATGTGTGAATGTTATGTCTGATGTGTGGAAGAAGGAATGATTATGCCTTCTCAAAGGAGATAATAAGAAAGTGTTTGTTTACATACTATTTTAATACATCCTACAACTAACTCTGAGCTCCAAAAGTTGAATTCAAACCTTGGGGCATCAAACTGATATATGATAAAATCTAAGAGTATTTAAGGTTCTTAACCAAAGGGTGATTTATAATCACCCATGGCTGCTATTTCTTTATTTATTACATATGTAAAAGGAAAATTTTTTTTGTATTTAGTAAAGAAAGTATAATTTAATACAAATAATCATGGTCAAAGGTTATATTAAAAACCCTTTAGTTCAAGTATTTCAGCACATTCTGAATAAGGTATCACATTTATTAAGAGGTATGAAAGTTGCTGTATTTCTTATTTGAATGCATTCCAGCAAGAAATGATAATGGCATTTTCAAAGTTTTTTCAGAAAGAACTTACTAAGGAGACTAAAAAGCAATACAGAACAGTTCCTGCTGCTTGATTTAGCTGTAGGAAGCAGAAACACCTCCTTCCCTGTGTTACCAGATTATTTACCCGAATTTCACTAATGAATCCCCAGCTTGAGGCCTTAGCTCTGTGTTAAATCTCCTCTGAAAGGAACATTCCCCCTCCTCTCCTCATACTCACACCCAAACAGAAGTCCAAAATGTGCTATGCTTCTTCCTGTTTAAGGACATAAAATTGCAATCCTTCTCTAATAACAAGGAATGAGATGGTTGAAAAACCACAGATGAAAACTATTTGAACAATTGCGTCACGGATGGGAAAGAAAACAACAATTTTGGAACCACTACTAAAATGTGGATGCTTTCCTAAGTATTTTCTTATTTAGTTTTCAAGGCTAGACTCCTCCTTACTCAGAGAGGTCAAGTGTACCCAAGACTGCACGGTGAGTGACACAGCAGGAATTTCAACCATGCAGGATTTTTTTCCATGAGGATGCAACCCGTGATAGCATTATAATTTCTATTTTTAGAAAACTTGCTAGTTCAGGTGGGAAGAGGTTAGTAAAGGTAACAAAGGAAAATGTTTAACCACCAAGGGTTGCTAGGTCCTTCCAGAAATCTGTTGGTAGGACCAGCTTCATTGTCCAGTGACCTGTGTGCAGAAGGGCTCCATGCGTGAGCTAATGTTCTGCTGTTGCTGCATTAAAAACTCAAAAATTAAACCTTTTTTTCCTTTTGTTTATTTTAGAGAGAGAGGAAGGGAGAAGGAGGGAGAGATAGAAACATCAATGAGAGAGAACATCGATTGGCTGCCTCCTGCAGGCCCCACACTGGGGATCAGGCCCACCACCTGGACATGTGTCCTGACCAGGAATCAAACCAGTGACCTCTTGGTGCATGGGGGTCATTGCTCAACCACTGAGCCACACCAGCTGGACATCAATATTTAAAAATAAAACTTCTATATTTTCATTTTGCACTGAGTTCTATCAATTATGTAGCTAGTCCTTCTTGTGAAGACCAACCAGTGGGAGTAAAGTCTATAGATCAGGGAACCTTCATTAAGGAGCCAGAGGCAGCTGAGTCTGTGTCAGAGTCTCTGCCCTTTGGAGTAGAATAGAATAAGGGTTGGACAGGAGGAAAAGCCAGGTGAGAACTTCCTGGCAGGATGCTTTCTCTCTCTACCTGCCTCATCATTGTTGGTCAACATACCTTTTCAGGATAAAATGTAGCCCAGCCCAGTACCAGCCAGAGGAGAGAAACAACATCAGGATAGCACTGGAGCTTGACCAGTCGAGAGCTAACATCTGAGAAGTAAGCAACCTGACCTGGTTCTTGGAGTGCCCTCTCTGACCTCCACCGTGTGAGCTGGGTAGAATGTAACCCAGGAAAATGAGTCTTGGAACAAAGCAGGGTCCCGAGTCCAAGCAGAGGGAGGTCCTCCAAGGGGTCCCCTCCTTTGTGTGTGTCTGGGGTAGAGGGGCAAACCAGCAATGATCGAACCCTAATTGTAACAACAGAAACCTCTGAGCTCAGGGGCACCAGGCCCCCCAGCAACTCATCTGGAAAGGGACAAGTCAGAGCCCCAGTTTTCACACCTCCCAAGCTTTGCTGGTCAAAGTTGCCGATGTGCCTCCATCAGAGGAAGCAAACTAATGCACTGGAAAGACCCCAAATTTAATATATAAATAAAGTATACTTTAAGATAAAAGGAAGGTCATTAGACACAAAACACACAAAAAAAAAACCAGTCATGAAAAAGAACCACTGTGAGGGATTGGGCATGAAAATGTAACAGCCTAAGCCAATCATTAGGCAGAAGGGCCACATAGCAGGAGCTCAGGGGAGCGGCCAGTGAACTCGGAGGGCAGGGGTGAGGACGGCATGAAGACATGCAGGCAGTTAAAATCGTGAGGGGAGAGGGGGACATCAGTACCTGTGTAACAGCTTCCCAAAGTGACGCCCCGTCTGGACCGCAGTGAGGCACACACGGAGCCCTGTAAACTCCATGTAAGCAGCGTGTGGGAAGAAACAATGGGATCTGTGCCTTGGCACCATTATGCACACTGGACACATGACACCGAATACATTTCAGGAATGGGAACATATCTACACGCACATATTGAACCCATCAGAGTGGGTGCCTGTGAGAATGTGAGGGGGAGAGAATGAAGGGAGAAATAAATAAAGCGAGAAAATGGCCAAGCCAGAGATTTCTGATGAATTAAAGAGTCGTGTAACTCCACTCTGGGGACCACATTTTTTTTCCCAATTATGTCATTTATCTTCCCCTCCCTCCCCCTGCAGTCAGCACTGTTGTCCGTGCCCATGAGTTCCTTCTCTCTGTTGTTCTCTTTGCTCAACCCCTTCACCCCACCCGCAGCCCACCCCAGTCACCCCCAGAGCGGCAGCCTGCTGTCCAGCTATGAGTCTGTCTCTGTTTTGTTGTGAGTTCAGTTTATTCTTTAGATTCCACACATGAGTGAGATCGTATGGTACTTGTCTTTCTCTGACTGGCTTATTTCACTTCTCTGGGTTTTTTTAAAATAAATAAATAACGATGATGAGTAGATAGATAAGTAAAAGGAGACTGATTATCTAAAGTCACCAGAGAATCACAAAAAGAAACGAAGAGAATGTTTCTTTCGTCTTCACAGTGAAAAGGGCTTATTGGATGTGCCTCCCACCCCCTTCTACACCAGGCCCTGTTCTCGGCGCTGGGAATACCCACATGAGTGAGACACCGTCTCTGCTTCTCAGAAATGTTTTACTGCCTCTTTGGACAGTGCCGCTCCTTTTGGCCAGCTCTGAAAAGGAGGTTTTCTTTTTACACTCATGTTGCTTTAAATAGAACAAGCACAACTGATATCATCCTCTGAATCCTGCCATCTTTATGGAATCTGGAAGTGAAAAGGAGTTTGGGGGTCACCTAGGCCCACCTTCCACAGCCTCAGGAATGTCTTCTATTCCCCAACCCATGGACGTTTCCTTCCCCGCAGTGACCATACATGGTTAGTATCTCTTTCCTAGGGAATCGCTGTGGACAAGTATAACCCCTGGAACGACCCCCCCAAATCGCGGCCCAGTGCTCCCCAGAGCTTCTGGCTTGGCTGCACCTGCAGCTACCAGCTACCCGGCACATTCATAGAAGCTCCCAAGCCTGCACCGACGCAGGTGTGCACCGTCCCACTCAGTCGACCACGGACAGACCTGTTTTCTTGCAGATCAAAATGGAGCCCCTGTAAAGAACTTTGGGGAGTATTTCTACACACACCTGTGCACAGGACCCCGTTTCCAAGCAAGACCGAATCGAGGGAGCACTGCGGGGAGCCGCTCTGCCCCCCGCTTCCCGCCCTTCCCCTCCATTGGGCACCAACACCCACAAGGGGCTCCCAGCTGGTGGCCATTCCTTTGTGCAGAACTAAGAAATGTGAAGCGAATTGAGGAGCGAGGGAACTGGAAACGGAAACTGCAAGTAAACGGTACCTGGAAGTCATAAAAGTGATAGCATAACGAGACCTCCGCGTAGAAACACACCTTTCGAGAGCGGGCAGAGCGCGGCGGGCGGGTAGGACTAGTCAAAGCCGCTTGCACTGCGCAGGGGCAGCACACCGGTCAGGGGACCTGGCTTCTTCCCGCTAAGCCTGTTTTTAGTTTGTTTCGATCTATAAAATGAGGAAAATAATACCTACTCCTTAGGGGTTTTGCGATGATTTAGATAATGCATCTCTTATACTAAATACAGTGTCTGGCTCATAGTAACTACTTTTTAAAAAAGATAGTTTTGTTGTAGAAGCTGCTGTTTTGTTCATTAGTATTCTAGAACAGTCAGTGGGCAGTGGCATTAGCTAGTGCTATCAGAATCGTTTCTATGTAAATAGTGGGTTATGCAGAGAGTTATTAGTACTCCAGATTACCTACAGAAGCCTATTCAGGGAAGGCCATGCATGTTTCAATTATTTTTTTAACGTGTCTCTTACCTTTGCTTTTACTTTCAGTTCCTCGTGCTTACGGATTAGCTCCTCATTGTCTGAAAGTGATGAACCTAGACTTTGTTCCCGTAAATCTCTTATGGTTTTCTGAAACCAGCAAGTAACCTAAGTAAAAAGCAACAGAGATTAAGTTTCAAATGATTAGAATACTGAGTACAAATTCGGAAATGTTTCCTTAACCTTTCAAATCATAAGCTACTTCCATTGCTCTTCGTAGAAACTCATTTCATGTATTAAATAATTATGGTGGGGTTTTTATTTTTTCTTCATTCAACCTCTACATGCTTCAGAGAAAAGAACAAAATAATTCCTGAAAAGCATGGAAACAATATATCCGTTCAGATTACATGGCATGAAGAAAATTATTCAAAATTCCCTAACAAAGAAGAACCAAAATTGACTCTATGCAGTCTGTGAATCAGGCATCCTTCTAGAATATAAATCCCCTTTCCTGGATGAGACTATGGATCTGAATACAGTTACAGAGACCCACATGAAGGCAATTAACAGCATAAGGACGATTATATTTCTACTATAAAAAGACAATGTAAAAATGGTGTTTGCTGCAATTGCTAAAAATCTGTATCCAGAAAATAAACAAAGTTACTAAAATTCTGTTGACATTATAAATGGGGCATGACTCACATTCATGTAGACTTGATTTACAATACACAGTGTTAAAACAACAATAGCAAAGGACTTGAAAGAAGTATTATATTTTTAAATGGTGACTTGACATTGAACTGATGACGTGAGGGTACTGGCTGCGGATTCCTTACCCAAATTCAAGGACAGAGACTTGGATTTTTACTCTCAAATCCTGTCCAGCGTTACTGCATGCTCACATCATTGCTACTGATTCCCGAGAGCCCATACATGCTGGACAGTTTGCTGGTTGCTTTTGGGGCATCCTCTCTATTTCTCTCAACAACTCTCTATAACAAGTATGATGTCATCATGCAGAGATGAGGAGACTTTAAGCAGCATATCCAGGGCCACACAGTAGGTGACAGAACTAGGATTTGTCCCCAAGCCTACATTATTCCAAAGTCCACGCTCTTTCCACTGTGCCCTGCTGCCATCCTTGGGTAAACTAAAGTCTGACAACCCTGGGCATGGGGGGAATTACTTCAAACCTGAAGAATTAATCCTGACAGTTCATTCAAAACAGTGTACGTTACACTATGTTTTCCTCCAACTTAGGCTGTTTGCCTACAACAACCTCAGGATTTCTCTGAACTCCTGTACCGTGGAGAAATGTTTGGAGGAGGTGGCCAAGGAGAAAACAAGGTTAGTCCTGGAGCTACACACACACACACGCACACGCACGCACGCACCACAGAGGTTGAGTTAGGCGTTACCTAGAATAAGATATTCCGTTACCATTACAGGGCTGATATCACAAAGCTGGTTATGAAATCAAATGGTCTGCACCAATGCTTAGCATTTTCCAGCAGGGAAGAAGCAGTAAAAGATGAGATAAGAGGGCTTCTCTGGCTTTCTACAAATTTTCGGAGATTTTTGGAAATCTCTGTTGATCATCATTTTAGGCTACTGTCAGTAAAAAGAAAAAAATAATGGTGATCCTGCCGCAGTTTTCGTGTAAAGTAGGCCTCATTTTCTTCATCACATTTAGTAATCTTTGTAAAATACAAACATTAGCCAGTCCCCAGATCTAAAGTGTAATGTTTATGTATTTACAATGATTTGAAGATAGCCTGTCTTTCTGGTATCCCAGTTAGAACTAGGTGACATGGATAATGTTCATATTAGAACACACAGAGTATTTTTTTTTTTTTTTATCCTCACCCGACGACATTTTTCCATTTTTTGTTCAGATAGAGTGGGAGGGAGAGAGAGGAAGAGAGAGAGAGAGAGAAACATCGACGTGAAGGGACACATCAAGTGGCTGCCACCCACACGACCAACCAGGGCCGGGGACAAACTGCAACCGAGGTACGTGCCCTTAGCGGGAACCGAACCCGGGTCTCTCTGTACCTCAGGCCGACGCTTTAACCGCTGAGCCAAACCGGCCAGGGCCACACAGAGTATTTTATCAAGAGCTGTAACATTTATTCATTTACTTAATTTTATACAAACAGTTCCTTACAAAAGGTGCAGTGACCATATAAAAAACACAACTAGAGAAATGACGCAAGGGTCTCATCGAAGAAAAATGAATCGTGAATATAACTAACTTTCAGGGGGTATTTTGTTTATTAAGCATCGGGAATAAGTTTTATTTATTCTTAGCTAAACGGGAAGGAACTCAGAAATCTCAAGAATGCTTTAATAGGGAAAGTTAATATAGAATCTGAGTGAATAAAAAATGGGTACAAACAGGTGTTCGTTAATCTCCAAAAACAGGTGAGAAGCCTGCACCCTCAGTAATCCTATTTAATTGTGTGAGTCAACGACTTGTCATCTGGCACATGCCGGTGGTGATGAGCAGGAAAGGAATGAGTCGCCAGATTTTTAAAAGGTACCTACTGACCTCATCCCCACATTTGGCAAATAGTATTTCAACCCCCAAAGAATACTCCTCCTGTAAGGCACCATTATTCCCTGTGAGAGAATGTAATTAAAGATCTGTGATGATATTCCACATCTCCTTATTACATACCGCCTGATGAAGCAAGATGACTCTCTAGAGCTACACATTTTTACTACTGAATGCACTTTGGAAGAGACATAAACACAAGTTGGCATAAAACTCAGAAGTAAGTAGTTCGCCGTGTGGGTGCTACAGCTCATCGTGAGGCATCACACACATGAGCAGCCTCTTAGATCAGATTTACTGTGCGTGCTGTGGGATGCATGCAAACAGGCTCTCAGAGTCCTCTGATGGAAACGCAAAACACCCTAAATAACTGAGAGCACGTCAACCATAATATTCTGCCACCCAGTAAATCAGTCATTGCGTCCTGTGTGTACCTACTGCAGACAGCTGCATAGATATTCCAAGAGCACTTTTTATAAGCATTTAAATTATATCAGCTGCTGTCCAAAAGCCGGAGTGATACAGTAAATGATGGATCTGATATTCTATCGAACATGGTCCCTGCAAAGGATGAAAATATGAGCCAAGGGTTGGGGGGTGGGAAGAAATAAAGGACAAAAAGCATTCGGAATATGCTCTGGAAATCAGTTCTAGGGCAGGACGGTTCAAGGGGCAAATGAGATTATGTTTATGGTCACTCCGCTGCTTTGACGTGACATTCTAGGGACTCAGTGCCCAGAGGAGGTTGCACTAAGGTCGGGAAGAAGTGGGGCAGACCTTTCTTTGCAGGGGAATGGGAACGCCTATCTGAGGATGAAGGAAGACAGAGGGAAAGGGAAGGAAAATCAGCGAAGATACAAAGAAGCAATCAGGGATGTCCAATGAAAACCAAGAACTGCCTCGGATGTTAAAGAGGGGTGCCAGGAAAACGCAGTCAAATGGTGTAGACCTGCACTGCCCCGTGCGGTAGTCACTGACCACATACAGCTACTGAGTCCTTGGAATATAACAAGTCCAAACTGAGATGTACTCTAAGTATAAAATACACAGCAGATTTCATAGTTTTAGAATTAAAAAATAAGAAAAACATCTTATTAAGAATGTTTATATTGATTAAATGTTGAAACACTATTTTGAATATGTTGGATTAAACAGAATATATTCTTGCTTTTCACTATTTTGTGAGGCTTTTTTAATATGTCTTTTCCATTTTTTTAAAGTGGCTACTGGAACTTTTAAAATCACGTCTGTGGCTTGCATTATATTTTTATTGGATGGTTCTACAATTCAAGGACACTTAGAATATCCTTATCTGTAGATCTAAAGATGGAGTTTTAATTAAGGGCTATTCAAAATCGTGACGTCAAGAGCACGGTGGGATGAGTATTGGTTGGTGAGCACCTGTGGACCACAGGGTGGGCCCTGAAGTAGAACTCATGACTCCTTCAGAGAAGTTGATTCGCTATGTAAAGGGGGAGTCAGATGACAACTCTAAGGAATGCAGAGGTAACAAAGAGACTTCTCCCCACATTTTTTTTTTTTTATCCTCACCTGAGGACATTTTTCGATATTTTGTTCAGATAGAGTGGGAGGTGGGGGAAGAGAGAGAAACATTGACGCGAAAGGGACACATCGAGTGGTTGCCACCCACACAACCCAACCAGGGCCGGGGACAAACTGCAACTGAGGTACGTGACCTTAGCGGGAACCGAACCCGGGTCTCTTTGGACCACAGGCCAACACTCTAACCACTGAGCAAAACCGGCCAGGGCTGCTTCTTTTTTTTTTTTCTTTTTTATTAGATCAGATGAGCATTTTTTGCAGAAACTGAAGATGCCTGAAGGAAGGTTAAGGCAGGAAGGTGCCAGAGTGGGAAGGCTGGAGGTGGCACTACAGCAGGTGGCTTTGGCATGGAAAGACCAGTCTTTGCTTATTGAATACCCCATCCCCACGTTGACCCTGCTGGGGGGCGGGAAAAAGAAAGTTAGAGAAATACACCCTACTTTCAGAGAGGTGTCAGGTACTGTTCTAGGCAGATTACAAGTGACCTCACCCAGCCTTGGCACCCCTCCTACGATGAAGATATTTACTTTTGTAATAGATGAGGAGACTGCGACACAGGTTAAGCAACTCACCTAAGGTTACACAACCAATAAGAGGAAAGTGCCCCCCTTGCAGGCCGAAATGCCATAGTCAGAATGTATGGAGAGCCAAACGGTTCCAGAGAAGAGAAATGGTTCTCATTAGGGTAATTTATGAATGTTCCTAAGAAAAAAACCAAAATGCAACGCTACATTTATAAAATCAAATTCCAACATGGAAACAGGCCCTGAGTACAGCCGGGGAGCTGAATAGACACATTTCATTGGAAAGAGCAGACTGTGGGTTGGGCCCATTGGAAGGGGTGGCGCAGAGGAGGGGCCAGCTGCACGCAGAGGCCGTGACAAGCACCAGCTGAGAATGCCAGTTCCCAAGTGACACATGTGAAAGACAGAAGTACAACATGGGCACACATGAAACACATAGAAAGTACTGTCTGATGATCAAGAATAAGTGACGTGGGTGGCAAGGAGCTGAGTGTCTGCGGCCACCCAGAGCGATGCAT